ACACGTTTCTGTGTCTGCACTCAGTGAAATGTCATCAGCCGGCCGTTTCGGCTGTCTCCCATGGTAGCATCTGGACCTGCTCATTTGTGACGCCATTCGGACTTTACGTCACAATATGATTTTAATGACGTCATCACAGCTGACGACATAACAATACAATGGTGTGAGCGATGTTTGTATGTATCAATACGCAGCGAATTTCCGGGAATCGAATACCATTTGATCACGTTTTTTCAACCAATCAGATTAAAGAACACAGTGACTTTTGGTTTACAATATGTATATGATTGATGACCAAAAGGATTTTGCATGACACAACTTGTAACACAATGATTTCTTCCTTGGAAGCGAAGTTGTGGTCGAAGTGACAATATTATTGTAAGTAGTATTATATTGACATCCACCTTGCTTCCAAGAGAGAAATTGTTATGTTATAAGCTATGTCATGTAAAATCCTATTGGCCATTATCAATCAATTACATTTTTTACAACGAGTAGAAATTACTTTTGATTTTGTAACTTGGTGACAACAAACCTAAATAACGTATTTATTTTCAGACTGGCGGATGTTCGCGACAGGGCGATAAACCTGAAATCATGACAACTGTTGTGGAAAATGAAAGCTATATGTTCTCACAATCTACTGTCATTTAATGTTGTCTCCTGCTTTGCCTAGTTTCCAAGTTACAACTTGTTTTCATAGACTATTCTGCCAAACCGATTGGTGTCGTTAGGCCTTATTTGAATAATGACTGATCCAAATTGATCCCATTTCTGTGTTTTTTAACCTCGATATTTAATCATGTCATGTAAAAATCTGTTTGTATTCTCAAAACAGTGTCGGCACATAAGTTTTCACATGCAATACAACAATTAATACTCCCTTGTTGTAACCCGTGTTAGGTGGTATAAACCTACACATGTTATTTGTTATCATTCACTTGATGGTCAGTTAATGAATTTATAACAGGTATAATTAGTGGTAACACACTTAGATTACCCAACAAAGGTTCCCATTTGGCATTTCTTGTGTCTGGAGTAAATATTCAACATTATAAACATCGATCAAAGGATTAACCGATAACACGCTGATTGATTAATTACTTTTATCTTACACAGCGGATTTGTCAAAAGGTAGTGTTTATGTATGTAGATTTACTAATCTATACTGAATACACTCTGTCGTGTCTGCGTAAAACAACTTCCTTCTTTCAAAGGATTAACCGGCAATACATTGATTGATTGCCCATTATTGGCTAACTAAATTACTGTTTTTAAAGAAAGGCAGACATTATGCAATTAGTTGCCAGGTGTGCTATCTTGGGTGACCAATGAGACTATACACCAATGTGAAATACCTGAAAAGATTTATCACTTTTCATATATTAAACTGTTAAAAGACACATCACTTGGAACAGCTGCAGATGAATGGCATATCACTCCTTTTTGTGGATATTGATGGATACATTCCTTGAACAAGGTAATAGCCTGACATTGTTCCTATAACTTTAATCTGTTTTAATTTTAGTATTTGCATTTTGTTTTTATTCATTTGTCGTAGCATTCAACAGAATCATTGTTTTCGCCGTGAAGTGTAATGAGACAGACAACATACACTAGGGTGTGTGTGCGAATTATGATTCACATTGGAAAACTATAAAATGTCTAGATATTACAGTTCTGTTATAAATTCACTATAAGTATCAGCAGATCGTCTGCTTTTTATTTAGTTTCAAAATGCATACAAGTATGATAATAAACTAATTAGGATTATAAGACCAAATAGTAAGACACACATTGACTAGTATCTACATACTGGTGAGTGGACGTTAACAATGTGAATGTAGCAAGACATTTATCGCGCAGTATTGTCACTTCGACCCCCACCTCGCTTCCGTGGAAGAAATCGTTATGTTATAAGTTGTGTCATGCAAAATCCTTTTGGTTATGATTCCAATACATATTTAACTACGAGTAGAAAGTAGTTTTGATTTTCTAAGTAAGATATCGTTCCAGGCCTCCACAACGCTCGCTTCGCACTCACAAACATAACCCATTTAGCACGAATTGCGGGGTCCTGTGGAAATCTGTGCATGGTGACACCATCGCCCGACCCCTAGGAGCATTTGACGACAAAGCAACGATTCAGCATGTCGTCGTTGATGTCGAGAAATCATCAAAATGATGAGCTTGCTACACACTTTCTATACAACTAACTGAAAATCGTTCCTCATATGACGTCACTGCAGTGCTCTGGCGACAGAGTTACGTAACCTGTCTGTGGTTTCGTTGGTGGGTGAGAGTGAAGCAGGTGACTTTTTGGCAATTTTTAATCGCTCGGTATTAATTAACCACAAGTTTTTTAAGAATGAATTTGGTGTTCCGCATAAGTCTAACCACAAATCTTTCATATGTAATAGTTAAAAGAGTACAAAAAAACAAAGTTTATTTGTTCTTTAAGATGAGAGAAGATGGTGCTATCAGGCAGGTTTCAGATACTGACTAAGATCTACAGCATCCAGAATTTCATATCTAATCTTATGCACATTAGTTGTTATTTGTGTTAGTGGATGAAATATGATATCTGCATCATGACTTACCAAGAGTATGTATTATATTCCATGACATTTTGTCAATTCCAATGAATTAAATGCATTCGGAAAGAAGAAAGATACCTTATACCTAGAAACACTTTTTTTATTTCATTTTCCCTGTGTTGACTACAATTAACTTTGGTTAATTTCATTTTAGTAGGTAGAATAGGTCAGCACATTAACTTCCTGATCACTGGACTGTACCATGTTATTTTAACGTGTAGACAGAATGGGAAGACATCATCGTAAGAAATGCTAATCTTTGCTTAGTACAAGTACGTTAGTTGAAATAAGAGGTATATTGTGATTACAAAAAGTAAGAACACACATGTGTGCCTATCGCTAAATAATTGGTGTTTTCTATTGTCACACATATGCAGCACTCACTGTGAGAAACTACTAATTACCTGACGCTTACACACATCACTCGGATATGCGGCTCTGGTATCCTCTGTGATATCTTCCCATTATGACTACTCCCAGTTTGACTACTCATGAACATAAACATATAATGCAGCACCCCTACACTTAATAATGTACTGTACCTGTAGAGTTGATTACTCCCAGTTTGTGTACTCTTTGAAATAAACCTATAAGGGAGAGTCCCAGGGCCTACCTGTAATTATTAGAAGCCAAATGAATCGGGGATCTAGTGATCATTCAAACTATTAACTGTAGAGCGCAATCATATTCTCAATCATTTTTACTGAGCGCGATTATGTTGTGGAATTCATTGCTTGATAGAACTGTAAATGCTATTTCCCTGAATCAATTTATACACCATGATTAACACAACTGAAACTCACAATTAGTTTGATTTGAATATTGGGACTAGGTTTTGTAAAATCATCCATTGTCGCCTCAAGCTCGGCTGTAGTGATCTAAACGCAGAAAAATATAATCGACATATATCGGAAACATTTAAGTGTTCATGTGATCATCATAACAAAGACGTTATTCACTACCATTTTACATGTCAGAACAACTGTGTATTTTTATATTCAAGGATACAATATTAAAACTACTTTGTACAGTAACTGCGCATTGAAACACTCAACAAATACTGGACATTCTCAACTCATTGCACCCGTTCATTTCTAAAAGTAACCGCTTCCAGTGACTATTACCTAAACATATATACTTGGTGTATATATACTCAAACCTATATACGTAGAACTGCCAAAACGCAGACCCTTTAAATCAACACCCATTATGGTTGGTTGCATCAGTCATTAGTAGGCTGTACCCTTGATTAAGGTAAATGTAACAAGTTTTGACAATGCAGCATGTAATCCTCTATTTATCAACCTAACAACAATATTTAGAAGTTGTTACAAATGAAGTTTCATTGTATTCAATCAGGATAATACTCTGGACCAAACCTCCTCAATTCAGGTGTCGCTTTTGCGTTCAAGCTGCAGTGAACACTGAATTTAGCGTTTCACGGGACTCTCATTACACAAGAAAAAACAAAAATTTGAGTCACAGACTGTTCACTGATAAGTCACACTGATGGATCATGTGGAGGTTGATCACTGAAGGTGGATCAGGTCAGCGACGTGATCAGTGTAGTCCAGGACACCGATGTTGTTGTTGACGAGGTTGTCCTTCAGTGACTGCAGGCGAGTGTCAATATGCCTCTACTTTCTCTTCCACGGAGGGGCTGTCTAGTGAGCTTTGATCCGTTGGATGGCGACTTCCATGTTGAACTGTTCTCAAACAATTTGACGACCTCAAAAATGTTTGGATGGCTCTTCCTGTCATATTTGTTTATCTTGCGGTTCCATCCCTCGACGTTGTTGATTCTATGTCCTGGATTGCCAAAGTGGTTCCAAACTTCTGGTTCGAACTGAGTGATGCAAAGGAAGGTATTTCCTTCAGCAGGTCATCTGGAACAACGTACGTGGCGTCACATTCAGGATACCTCATCTCCGTAGATAAACGTAACTCTGACCTGCACATTTGCCAATCGCGATAATCTGAAGTACGGTAATCCAATGTTTACATAGCAATTCACTTGCGCTGGTCTTTTAACACAACTAATTACTTTGTTTTTTGCTCCACCGGGATCAGGGAATATTGAAATATCGCTTCCCGGGCCGATACCTAATTAACCACCCTGACTGTATATCATGCCTTCAGATTTTACTTGGCCTCTAAAGACCATCTATTGGTAAAGGTTACTACAAGTTGTGGAAGTCACACAACACTAAGGTGACTTAACTCTCAGTTAGTACATGTTGAAAGGCGAAAGATCCAATTTTTTTTGTTAATTCTGCAACTTATGTTTTCATTGTAAGCACAAGAGGGTCACACTTTTAATGCAAAGTGATGTATGACACAAATGTATGTTTGGTATTGGATCTTTGTTGTGTACTTCATTTCATCTTCTCTTTTTTTTCTCAGACATACTTGGCTTTAGCTAAAGGTGGCCTTGTGGAGGACCATGTACTCATTCTACCAATTGAACATGTCCAGTCCTACGTCACATCACCAAGTGAAGTTCAACAAGAGATTATTTCATATCCTTTCATATCTGTAAATGGTATTCACATATACTAGATATAGCTGTCTGGTCATTTTAGTTGTACTTGACATAATTTTGAAATCAGGTTATGTCTCAGTACAATATCCATTAGAACCGAACTGACATGGTGTAAAGCAATTGTATAAAACACCGAAACTGATAGTTATTAACAATCAGGCTGGGTGTGAACATAAATATAATATTGTTGAAACACTTGTGGTATTTGCAGACCGAAAGTGATTTCATATTTTAAAATGAACTGGCGCAGTAGCATTGTTCATGTGATCATATGCAGCTTGAAGATATGGAACAAGATGATGTGTGATGAAATGGTTTAAACATATTTATTTCTTTAAGAAAACAAAGCAACAAAATTTATGAACTGGATTGTTCAACAAGCTCAAAACAACTTACATGAAGACCGCTCCAGTATACATAGATATATGAAACAATATCATGACAAGGAAAAATGATATCTTGTGAAAATAGATGTTATGACATGTAGTCAAAAGATTAAGATCATGATGTTTGTGTAACAGGCGTGGTTCGCTCTGTCTTGTGGAAACTACATGTTAAATGTGTGGTTCTACTTTGCGTTGTGTTTTTCCTTTCCAACTGGCACGTTTACCACAAGAGGGTACGCTCCAGGTATAAACCTGTCAATCCATGAGCAGAATTCTCCTCCACGCTGTTTCCCAGTTACGAGATGCAGCCTTGCGATTCAGGACATACAACAAAATTCATATCACCATTTTATTTACTAAAGAAAACCAACTCCAAACGGAACAAATGATACAGAATATATTGCTGGGAAGTTTTAAACAGAATTCCAAATAAATTAACAACACCGATCCCCACCTAATCCCGAACTAATATAACTCTAGAATATTACTACGCGTTTATCAACTTCTTCACTGAGAAAATCCAACGAATCCGTGCTGCCCTTAATCTATCAAATGATAATATGGGGTCAAATGCAGCTTGTGTGGTTAAGCCGGCAAAGCCAGCCACGACACACTTGACATGCTTTAGTCCCATCGGTAAAGATGAAGTTGGAAAACTTCTGACAAAGAGTCCAACAAAGTCTTACAGTCTCGACCCTTGTCCAACATGGCCACTTAAACAGTGTCAAGGTGTTCTTCTGCCAATCCTCACGATGGTAAATCAGTCACTTGCACAAAGCAAGGTACCAGAGATACTAAAGGAAGCACTAATTACCCCCCTGTTGAAAAAGCCATCACTGGATCAAGAAGTATTCAAGAACTATCATCCTGTTTCAAATCTACCCTTCACTTCAAAGTTGATTGAGCGGGTAGTAGCAGCTCAACTGCAGAAGCACATGCAGGACAATAATCTCGGAGAGATCATACAATCGGCTTACAAGACTGGCCACAGCACAGAAACAGCTTTATTGCGTGTACAAAATGATCTTCTTCATGCTGTCGATACCAAGGGATCGGCAATTCTCATCCTCTTGGATCTATCAGCAGCATTCGACACAATAGATCACTCAACTCTTCTCAAGACACTGGGGGCAGTGGGGTAGCCTAATGGTTAAAGCGTTGGCTCGTCACGCCGAAGACCCGGGTTCGAATCCCCACATGGGTACAATGTGTGAAGCCCATTTCTGGTGTCCCCCGCCGTGATGTTGCTGGAATATTGCTAAAAGCAGCGTAAAACCAAACTCAGTCAGTCAGTCAGTCTCAAGACACTGGAGTTACACGTTGGTGTTACAGATGATGCCCTATCATGGTTCGCATCATATCTCACAGGACGCCACCAGTCAGTCATAATTGATGGAGCTCGATTAGATAGAAGGGAACTGAAGTTTGGAGTGCCACAAGGATCTGTTCTTGGTCCAATACTTTTTACTATATACACCCTACCAGTTGGAACTATTGCAAGATCACACAACTTGAGTTTCCACCTGTATGCTGATGACACACAGCTCTATCTGGGATTCAAACCATTGTCAACATCATCAGTTAGTGACATATTCCAGAGAATCACAGACTGCATAGTTGACATCAAATGTTGGATGACATCACACTTCCTAAAATTGAACGATGATAAAACTGAAATTTTGATCATCAGCTCAAAACAAATGCAGTCCAAGCTACAAGTTCCTGCTATACACATTGGAGACAGTATTGTGAAACCTAACAGTCAAACGCGAAATTTAGGTGTGATCTTTGACTCGACATTCAGTCTAGAAAACCATGTGAGCAATATCTGCAAAAACGCATACTACCAAATGAGGAACATCAGACAAATTAGCAGATATGTGGACAAAGTCTCTGTGACATGCTTAGTCCAGGCATTTTTAATATCACGTCTTGACTATTGCAACAGTCTCCTGCATGGCATTCAACAGCAGCATCTAGACAAACTACAGTGTGTACAAAACACAGCTGCCAGATTAATTACACGCTCTCAAATACGTGATCACATAACACCAGTCCTCAAAGAGTTACACTGGTTACCAGTGAGACAGAGAATCGTTTTCAAACTACTGCTGTTTGTCTTCAAATCACTCCATGGTTTGGCTCCAATGTACTTGCAAGACCTCACACAGTTGTATCAACCAGAACGTGCACTGAGATCTGCATGTAAACAGCAGATGATAGTGCCACCGGCCCGGACCACAACTTATGGAAATAGGACTTTCAGCAGAGCTGGTGCAGTTCTATGGAACGAGCTTCCGGCGGATGTCAGGAAATCTGAGGATGTCAGCAGCTTCCGATCCACCCTGAAGACCATACTCTTCAAAAAGAGCATATGACTGAGCGCTCTTGAGCAGGATCATATCTGGATAAGATGCGCTATATAAATGCATAATTTATTTATTATGTCTCCGCGAACACCGGTAAGAAAGACCCATTTAATATACAAGAATTTATAATTTATACTAGGGGTGTCGCGATACGCGAATTTATCGATGCATCGATACGTTTTTACTGACGATACGATACGCGATACATGCTTGCGTATATCGATTCCTATTTTAAAACTTTATCGATTCAAATTTTTATGCTATATATCCATCTCCTTCAAAGTCTTGATAGTAAAATTATACGAGACCGCTTCGATAAATAGATGTAGCTAGCTTTACTTAAAAAAATAGGTTGGAAACTAACAGCTTTTGTGATTGGCTAGACTATTTTGATGGACCAATCAGCGAGCGGGTACGTTGCCGATAAGGTAATACTATGAAAAGGCGCGAAAATTATGTATCGCGATACGTATCAAAAGGGGACCGAATTCATTGGAAATGTTGTAAGACAGGTTGTCCTGCAACCGCCAACACCGTCAGTGATGTTCTCAGCACTTCCAAGAACATACACAACCATCATCAAGATCAAGTTCAGCTGCACATTGACACCTTTCTTGCCAGGTTGAAGACCAAAGTCCCGGAGTGATTCAAGACCAGTTCAGGCTATATACTATGAAGAAACTGAAAGTAAGTTTAACATTGTGGACATGACCTACTATCGTACCAAATTAAATTGAGATACTGAAATGTGCAATGGATTTTGTAAATGGAATATCAAGTCAGTAAGATATCAACGTTATATTCTATTGTATTTGTTATATATTGCTGAAATAAAAACAAATCGAGCTGAAGTGTAGTGTGTTAGACCGTTTGTTGGATCGAAACAGACTATAACTTTATCCCCTATTGTTATAGGGATTATCAAGCATTCATTCAGCCAATCAGGTATGCGAGCTACATGTCGTCACAACAAAAAGCCAAGCTATCAAAAAATAAACTGGGTCATCAGCTTGCCAGCTGAGACCTTTAATAGCTTCAAAATAGTTTAACAGAGTGAATAATACACCCATAGGGAGGTCTCAACTAGCTGAGGTCTAGCTGAAGTTCTTGAGAGGTTTGTGAAGTTCACATCCCATTATTTGTGAATTTAGTGTTTTAAAACCTGAAGCGACAGGCGTCTGTAATGCATGATGCAATCTATAGCTTAGATTCACCTAGTCTCCCAGTGCAAGCTAGACAGCGTGGTGGGAATACTGTGTGTTAGCGTTCGAATCACGCTTAGCTGACAAAACTTTTACAAAATGTTTGTAATTTTTTTTTATTTAACAATAAAGGCTGCTGTTGTGTTAGCGGAGCCTTTGTCCGTATGTAGAAGTGTGAATTTTCACCTTTTTACCATTGAAATTACATGAAATAGTTGCTCTTAAATGAACATGATGAATTCTTCTAAAAATGGTTTGTGTTTCTTTTTTGAAGAGTGTATCTTTCCTTTAATTGGTGGACATGGTGATTCGTCATCCTTTGATACTAAACTGAGTTTTTCAGGTTCCTTAGAGGCAACAATTTCTTTATCAGTTTCATTTGGCACATACTTTAAATCTTTTTGTACTTATTATCCCCTGCAACGCGTTTTGCGGGGGGTATTAAAATGGACTCCGTCTGTCTGTCCGTCCATGCACATTTGTATTTTCCGGAGCAGAACTCTAAAACCGTTCAATATTTTTTCACCAAACTTGGCACATAGATAGATCTGGTGGTGTACTGGTGCCTTTTGGTAGTTTTGGAATTCTGTATAAAACATTTTTGGCATTTCCAGGGCAACAAGTTCGACTTAGAATGAAATTAGTGGTAGTGCTCTTTTCCGGAGTAGAACTCTAAAACCGTTAACTATTTCTTCACCAAACTTGGCACATAGATAGATCTGGTGGTGTACTGGTGCCTTTTGGTAGTTTTGGAATTCTGAATAAAATATTTTGGCATTTCCAGGGCAACAAGTTTGACTAAAACAGAAATTAGTGGTAGTGCACTTTTCCGGAGCAGAACTCTAAAACCGTTCAATGTTTCTTAACCAAACTTGGCACATACATAGATCTGGTGGTGTACTGGTGCCTTTTGGTAGTTTTGGAATTCTGAATAAAATATTTTTGGCATTTCCAGGGCAACAAATTTTGACTTACCCTGAATTTGGTGGTAGTACACTTTTCCCGGAGCTGAACTCTAAA